GAGACGAATCAGAGCTCTTGCTGTCCTCATAACAAGGACAGTGTTTACAGTACATGAGCTGACGGTTATCCAGAAAAAGTTAAGCTGCAGAAGAATACATATAGAAAGCTACCATTTGTGTCTTACATTTATATGTCTGAAACATGCATTTCTACGCATATGCATAGATCTGAAAGGATGTACAAGAAATTGGGTACGAGGACTGGCTCGGGGAGTGGAGAAGAAAGGATTTGGTGGCTGAGGCACCCAGGTGGGGCTCCTCCCTGTGAGCCGTTTGCATAACTTTAGAATTGTGTGCCTGTTGAACACAAGGTGAGGCCTCATAGTCATAGCTTGCGAAGCTACAAGCCCCTTTTAGGGTCTGGGAGCTCGTGACATCCATGGATCATGAGAGGAGGCGTCGCTGCAGGTGCCAGCTCCCCAAGGCCCTTGTTCAAGGTGACACGGAGACACCTAGTCAACCTAGACACCTAGGTGTCTAAGGGACACCTAGACACCTAGAGCCTAGTCAACTGCAGCACAAGGGAGTGGCCTCCCCGTGGCTCAGGAGCCGGGGCCCCGCTGCAGCTGGCATTTTGGTCACCGTCAGCTGCACCTTGAGGCGCGCATGTGGCTGGAGGCGGCATAGCCCATCTCATCAGAACCAGGGGTGAAGAGACGGTCTCGTGACAGCCTCCAGGGAGACAGGGAGGCGAGTGGGAGCCTGGGAGCCCTCCATGTCCCAGCTCCTCACCTGCCGCAGGTGCTCTTGAGTTTGGGGGCCTCACAGGCCTTCCTAGAAGACAGACTTGGCCGCAGTGCAAACCCTGCCTCGGCGGCCTGCGTGGGTACCGGCAAGGTCGCCCACCCCATGCTAGAACCGCCCCCCGACCATACCGCGCAGTCCTTACCGCTGCAGAAAAGTGAAGTGATTGGATTTTTCCAAAGAAAGGAGGTCTCTTGAAAGCCGTCCCTAGATGGTCCACCGCTGCCCACCTGCCGTCTGCCACCATGGTGCCAGGTCTTTGCCACCCGGCCCTCTTGCGGCTCACCGTCCAGCCTTCCGAAGTCTTCCCACTACCGCGCCTTCCTGCCTCTCCTCGGGCACCGTGAGTCTTCTTTTCATGAACCATAAAAATAGAAGGAAGAAACCCCATTTTACATTTTACAGACAAACCTGAGGCTCAGAGAAGCAGAGGGACTTTGCCAAGATCCTATTCGGCCACTGGCTGTGCCGGTGTCAGAGGCCAGACTCCCAGCTCTGATTCTAGAATGCTTTCATCCAAGGGCGCCTGGGTGGCTCAGTCAGTTACGCGTTCGACTCAGCTCAGGTCGTGATCTCATGGCCAGTGGGTTCGAGCCCCACATTAGACTCTCTGTGACAGCAGAGCTGGCTTGGGATTTTCTTTCTCTCTCCCTGCCCCTTCCCAACTGTGCTTTCTCTCTCTGTCTCTCATAAATAAATAAACTTACAATGCTTTCACCCAGCGGGGATGTTTTTAAGCACTGACTGATGGGGCACTGGGCACCGGGAATACACAGAGAACCTCTGCCCCCTTAGAGCCTACAGTCTACTGGGACTCCATACCTACCACATTCTGAAATACAGCATTAAACTAACTTTGCCCCTCAGTTTGAGCTTTTGACAGAGTTGTTGCTTTAAAATGAACAGCAAAAAGCTAGGGCAGCCGGATCTGGTGAAATGTACCTCCTCTGCGGTGTGTCCCACCTTGGAAAGGCACTTACTCTTGATTTTAGCTTTGACATCTATAAATAGTCTCAGACTTTACTGCTCTGAATGTTGCATTTGTATATATAAAAGTCATTGAAAGAGATGCTTGGGGCACCTGGGTGGCTTAGTCGGTTAAGCGTCCAACTTTGGCTCAGGTCATGGTCTCACTGTTTGTGGGCCCAAGCCCCGTGTCGGGCTCTGGGAGCCTGGAGCCTGCTTCAGATTCTGTGTCTCCCTCTCTCTGCCCCTCCCCTGCTCATGCTGTGTCTCTCTCCTCTCTCAAAAATAAAATAAACATTAAAAAAAAATTTTTTTTTTTTTTTTAAAGAAAGATGTGTAACAGGGATAGCCATGCTGTATTGATAATAAAGGAACGGGTTGCGCATTTTGCCATGGATAATCTTTTTTTGGTGTGTGTTCTCTTTTATAGATCGTTTGACGATATCTTATTGTCGGAGTAGCGGTCCTGGGGGCCAGAATGTTAACAAAGGTACAAGGCACCTTGTTTTTCACTTTGAAACTTTGCTGGGAGATGCACTTGAGTTCTGTGCTTACATTCATGTGGAATAAAGGGCTTATTTTAGCAGAGAAGCTTAAATACCACCAGTTTATAATAATCCTCTTTATTCTTTTGAATGTGGTCCGATTCTTAGACTCTCAGCTGTGGATTGCCAGGACTAGGGTTGGCTTGTGAGCCTAAACAAAGGGAAATCACAGTGTGAGTTGGCAGCGAGCTCCGAGAACAGGTTTCTTTCATTCTCGTGGAACCCATCCCCCCATTCTCTTCAGACCCCACTAAACTCTAAGAGAAGCACTGAGCATTTAGTTCCTGGAAGTTCATTTTTGTCCAGAAGTTCCTCACCATCTTTGTAGGCTGGTTCCATCCCCAACTTTGTATTTTCCCAAGTTGACACAGGACCTGTGTTCCGGGTCACACCTGACTGCGTGTCTTGCCTCCCCGTTTCAGGATTGTCACCAGCCACCGGGCGCCGAGCCTGCTCGAGCATCTCAGTAACCCATGCACTCTGGTCCCTTTATTTACAGTGAATTCCAAGGCCGAAGTCAGGTTCCACTTGGCAACCGCCGAGTGGATCGCAGAGCCTGTGCGGCAGAAGATGGCCATCACGGTAACCACGGGCTCCTTTCTGTTTTCTGTCATCCCTCTGTATGAGTCGCTTTTAAACCTTTTACTCTGTAGAACTCTGGTGTTGCCTTTGTTCTCTACAGCATAAAAATAAGATCAACAAGTCAGGAGAATTGATACTCACCTCCGAATGCAGCCGCTATCAGTTCCGAAATCTGGCAGACTGTCTTCAGAAAATTCGAGACATGATTGCTGAGGCCAGCCAGCCGGCTAAGGAGCCGTCCAAAGAAGATACTGTACTGCACAGGATCAGGTACCAGACAGTGCCCCCAGGCTTCTCTCAGCTGAGTCGTGGGGACAAGGGGCTGCACAGAGAAGACAGGAGGCAGGGGGAGGCCACGGCTTCCCCGCCCAAGGTGGGAAGGTTCCAGGACCGAGAGAAGCCACTGCCCCAACGCCTGCTGAGCCCATTGCTTCCTTCCCGCCGCGCTGCCAGCGCCTCTCACCACTTTGCAAAGCACTGATTGGGCATCTGGACCTAATTGCAGTCTTTTTGTTTTCAGGATAGAAAACATGAATCGGGAAAGGCTGAGAAAAAAAAGGATAAATTCTATCATAAAGACAGGCAGGAGGGTGGACATGGACTGAAATCCGCCCCCAGAGCCGACACGGACCCTCCGCAGGGCCTCCAGGAGGCCGTGGCCGCGAGCTCTAACACCGCCAGGAGACCCCTGGTTGTTTGTGGCTGTTGATGCTTGGCTTTCACATGGGCGCCGCCATGAGAATGTTCATCTAGAAGGAGGGCAGCAGGCACTGGTTATGAAGGTCTTTATGGGCAGTCATGTGCTGTCAGACGTCCACTATCCATTAGCGCGTTAGCTGTAATAAAATGCTGCGGTAAACACAACGGGCTTCGCCTCTCATTCCCAATGCTTCGGAACTGAATTCCGACCTTTTCTGGATATTGAAATCTGCCTCACGGCTGCTGACCAGCACTGATCGGCCAGGGGGAGATAGGAAGGAGCTGCGGTGTCCTCGCTCAGGGAACACACCTCAGGTTAGGAGGGCTGAGACAGGTGAGGGGGCACCTGAGCTGGGCCTTGAAAAGGGAATTGAATTTTAGTCGGTAGGGGGGCGGGGGGCGGGGGGGCCATGCCAGTTGGAGGGAACCGTATGAATAAGGGAAACCGAAGAAAAGGCTGGGCTGGAGAAGCTGAGGAAGCCAGCTGAATGGTGGATCCATCCAGAGGACTGCGGAAGGGAAGTCTGGAAAGGAGATGACAGAAGCTCAGTGCGGAGCCTCGAGTTCAAGTTCGAGAGCTTAGATTTTCTTTTTAACATTATGTTCTGCTGGGTTTTATTTTTTTATTATTTATTTTTGAGAGAGCATGAGTAGGGGAGAGAGAGACGGGGACAAAGGACCCAAAACTGGCCTTGAGCTGACAGCACAGAGCCCGATTCGGGGCTCAAACTCATGAACTGTGAGATCATGACCTGAGCCAATTTGGATGCTTAACCAACAGAGCCACCCAGGCGCCCCTCAAGAGTTTCGATTTTAGTACGTGACCAAGAACTGCTGGGGTTCTTAAGCAGGAAGGAATGCCATGTGTTAGGTGCTGTTGCATGCGGTGGGGTCTTTGAGGCAGGGAAAGAGTAAGTCAGAACTGAAAATAGGTTTTTGCAATCCTATGGGTACGGGAAGAACCGAGGCCAGCACGACTAAAGCAGATTACTCTGGTGCATACGAATTTCTTGGAATGTTCTCTGTCATTTTGATCTACTACACCTGTTCAACAAAGACTGCATTGTGATGTGCTCTAAATGCCGGACAATTAGCTCTGGTGGCATATACAACTTTATGTGAGCAGGGACCTCATCATCCATGGAAGTGTAAAAAAGGGACAAAAAGTTATTGATAAATGATTCTTCCAAGGGTCCCCTCAAGAGACTCAGCACCTTGTCGGGGATAAAGTTCATAGATCCAAGGCAGTGCAGCATTCATTGGTCTGTTTGTTAATTCAACAAATACTGAGCGAAAGGCCCTGGGTGAGGTCCCAGGGAACCAGCAATGAACAAAAAAAGCCCTGTCTTCCAGAGAACTTACATTCAATCAGGTTATAAAAGCTGAGAAGAAAAATGGATTTCTGTTACAGTAATACAATCTAAAGTGTGGTAAGTAGCTTAAATCTAAGGAGGTTCTCGGGGAAAAAGGGCTTCTGTCATGAGGGGCACATGTAGGGCAGCCCCATCTCTCTTCATGTGGAATCGACGTCAAGAGATTTCAGAAGCATGATTTTTTGCTGCCCGGGCGGCCGGTGATCATTGGTCCCTGCACACGCCCCCCCCCCAAAAAAAAACCCATATAAATAAAAATAAGTAGTTTCTGGGAACTCTAGAAGCAACTAGTTCCAGCTTGAGGGTCAGAGAAGATATACTTGAGGCGCTTGAGATGGGGGGGAGGGGCTGGCCATGCGAGCAAGACCAGAAGACCTTGTCACCTAAAAGCTCCAGTGGTGTCCAAGGCCTGCCTGTGGCTGGGACAGTGAACTACAGTATTGAGAGAATAAGCTCTGAGGCCAGTGCGCATGGTGTCAGCTCCTGCCTCCCACCACCCCCAGCTGTGGGGCCTTGGGCAAACCACTTAGCCTCTCTGAACCTCCGCTTCCGCAGCTATAAACTAGGGATGATGTTATCTCATCCGTGCCTACCTCATAGGATTGTTGTGTGGTTTAAATAAATCAGTAAGTGGCTAATGGCACTGAGCATGTACTTGAGGAATGCTAACCATGATGGACAGTGCGGTTTGGCTGGAACCCAGGGGATGAGGAGCTGTGGAAGCCATGCTGGGCACGTGGAGTGGGAGCCGGGTCTAGAAAGGCCTTCAGTGTGACAACTAGGACATTTAGCCACCTCTCCAGAGGCTGTCAGAGGAAGATTAACCTGACCGCGAGCAGGCGAGGCGAGCGCAGGGAGATCCGCACCCCGCACCGGCTGCTGGACTGACCCATGTAGGGGTCAGGGATCCATCCTGGAACTGGGGCAGAGGCAATGGGGATGGAGAGAAAGTAGACGAAAAAGGATTACGGAGACAGAAAATGGGCCCAGGTGGAGTGGGAGCAGGTGAGTGACGTGTGTGATGCTGTGCAGCGAGGCAGGGAAGGCACAAAGGACTGGCCTGGGGGGGACGGTGGGGTGAGGATGGTTTTGCCCGTGGGAGAGGGAATGCAGCCCCGGGGCTCGGGGTGAGCTTGCAGCTGGAGGGTGCAGGGCGGAGGACCCGAGCAGAGCCTTGGGAATGGGTGGGAGCAGTTGGGGACAAGGCAGAGCGGAACATGGGGACATGCTGGCTTAGACGGTGGCAGCAGGAAACCAGAAGAGGCATCCCTGTGGGCTGACCCTGGAGTAAAGCGCTAGACCCATGCGGCCCTCAGAAGACATTTGGGGTACACGAAAAGACCTGGAAAGGCATTTGGGACACACAGGAGGGGACAAAGGGGTAGAGAAACAGCAGGCTGGGGGACAGGGAGTAGAGCACAGGAGGAGGACCCACCCTTCAAAAATGCTGAGGGGGCACCTACATGGCTCAGTCAGTAAACATCTGACTCTCGGTTTCGGCTCAGGTCAAGGTCTCTCAGTAGGTTCAAGCCTCGAGTTGGATTTCTCTCTCTCTCTCTCTCTCTGCCCCTCCCCAGCGTTCTCTCTTTCTCTCTCTGCCTCAATCTCAAAATAAATAAATAAACTTAAATATTGAGGACTGAGATTCCTGGCTGGCTCAGTGGGTAGAGCATGAGACTCTTGGCCTCGGGCTCATGTGTTCAAGCCCCATGTAGGGTGTGGAATAAATAAAGATATGTTTTTAAAAAGCCGAGGACAAAAGAATAAACAAGAATGAAGCATTCTGCATTCATTCTGCTAGGACCCTTAAGATCTGTACACTTTGCTGCATGTGCACCTCAACTGGTTATCTTAAAGGAGAGCACCTTCGGGGGCTCTGGGTGGCTCAGTCCAATGGGTGTTCAGCCCTTATTTAAAAAATTTTTTTTTCATTGTTTATTTATTTTGAGAGTGACAGAGAGAGTGCAAGCAGGGAAGGGGCAGAGAAAGAGAGAGAGAATCCCAAGTAGGCTCCGCACAGTGCACAGAGCCTGACACAGGGCTCAAACTCACAAAACTGTCAGATCATGACCTGAGCCAAAGTCAGAAGCTTAACAGACTGAGCCATCCAGGTGCCCACCCCCTTTTTTTTGGGGGGGGGGGTGTTCAACTCTCAATTTTGGCTCAGGTCATGATCTCTCAGTTAGTGGGTTCAGGGCCCGAGTTGGAATTCTCTCTCTCCCTCCCTCCGTTTCTCTCTCTGCTCCTCCCCTGCGCGCGCTCTCTCTCTCTCACACACGCATGCACACACACAATGAATGAATGAAGGAAGGAAGGAAGGAAGGATTTGGGATGCCTGGCTGGCTCAGTAGGTAGAGCATGGGACTCTTGGATCTCAGGTTTATAAGCTCAAGCCCTATGTAGGTCTTGTAATAAATAAAGGTTTTATTTGTTTTTTGTTTTTGTGTTTTGTTTTGTTTTGTTTTGTTTTAAGGCTGAGGACAAAAGAATGAACAAGAATGGGGGCGCCTGGGTGGCTCGGTCCATTAAGCTTCTGACCTCCTCTGGGGTCCTTGATCTCATGGTTGGTAGGATCCAGCCCCCAGACCGGCTTGCTCGGGATTCTCTCTCTCCCTCTCTCTGCCCCTCCCCTGTTCATGCTCTGTCTGTCTCTCTGTCTCTCTCTCAAAATAAATAAACAAGCTCAAAACACACACACACACACACACACACAAACCCAACACGGTTTAAAAGGAGAGCACCCTCAAGGCAGGGGACGGGAGCCAGGTGGGTCAAACTCTTCCTTCTTGCTGATGTTAAGGGAGGAAGGAAATGAGTTTGTCAAGACTTTGCACACGTCGGAGAGAGAAAAACAAAGCAGAATGTGTCCAAATTCCCTGCGCCCTGGACGCGCGGAGATGGGAGGGGCGGGGTCTCCACTCGGGCACGACCGGGGATAAAACCCGCCTTGGGCGGAGCTGCGCTGCCCGTAGGTACGTCTTTCAGAAGCCCAGGGATTTTCATAGCGGGTTCTAAACCGTGTGTGACGTTTAAAAATGAGCTCATTCCTTACTTGTATTACCTTTTGTACAACAAAAAAAGAAGGAACAAAATAACAGGCGGAACATTCTAGGTGGCTTTATATAGAACCTGTTATATATGACGTCCATTTCGGACCGGACGGATTTGTTCCTTCTGGTCGGTGGTGCGTTGCCTGGCGATGGTGACGACGGCATCCGTGACGGGCGCTGCTCTGTGCCCGTTCACTTCCCCACCACTTTCCCCTGAGGTTCCTGGCGTTTCCGTCCGTTCTGCACCGGGGGACACGGCGGCCGGGGCGCCAGGCTTCCCGGGACGCGGGCCCCGCTGCCTCGCTGCCGACCGCGTCTAGGGGGCGGAATGGGGCGGCCCCCAGCCGCAGGCCCCAGTGGCCTAATGGATAAGGCACTGGCCTCCTAAGCCAGGGATTGTGGGTTCGAGTCCCACCTGGGGTAGGGACGCCTTTTTGGCCCTCGGAGCCTGGTGCTTCGCGCACCCTGCAATCTACGGCCCCGCGGCCCGCTTAAAAAGCCTGAAGACCGTCCGCAACTTTTGTACAGCCCACGGGAGGACGGTAAGGAGGCGCACCCGTCCTGGAGGCTTAAAGGGGTGGAGAGCTTCTAAGGAAGGCGAGGGGATGACGGGCCGCACTGACCCCCGGATCCCAGCCCTGGGCTAAGGGGCGAGACGCGTGGAGCCCCTGGGGACCGGGTCGTAGACCTGGTGGCCGGGGTGCGCCGAGGCGCGCGGCTTCCCGGCGCCAAAATTTCCGGCAGGGAGACGCCGCCGCACCACCCCAGGTGGGACTCGAACCCACAATCCCTGGCTTAGGAGGCCAGTGCCTTATCCATTAGGCCACTGGGGCGCGACAACACGCACCGCTCACGTGGTCCCTGGTAACGCGTAGAAGCGCGCGCGCGCGCGACTCCCGCCACCCCGACGGCGCACCCCGAGGACCGAGTGGCCACCAGCCCCCACCCTAAAAGCTAGAGTCCGAGGCGAAACGACGAGCCCGTGCTCCGCGGGGACTCCCCACGCTGGAGGCGCGCAGCTGCACGGAGAGGACCCGACTTCGCGGAAGGCGAGTGCCGAGCAGCCCCAGCGACCCGGGAGGGGAGGAAGAGGGAGACGGAACAAAGCCACAAACGAGACCGAGCGGGGCTGCTGGGGCCCGCGCCACCGAAGGGCATGAGCCCCGCCGCCAAAAAGAGACCGACCACGAAGGGACTCGAACCCTCAATCTTCTGATCCGAAGTCAGACGCCTTATCCGTTAGGCCACGCGGCCCCGACGCCCGGGGCGCCATAATGCGTAGGCCAGGTGCAGCCCCTGTGCAGGTGGAGGCGCCTGGATGTGGGCAGAACAGGACCGCGCGCCCCCGACCTCAAAGTGTGCCACGGGAGGGCCGGGGCCGGGTGCGATCCCGGCAGCCGGCGACAGACAGTGCAGCCTTAGGTTACTAAATAGGTATCCTGGCACCGCTGGGTACGTGCAGGGACCGCGTGGCCTAATGGATAAGGCGTCTGACTTCGGATCAGAAGATTGAGGGTTCGAGTCCCTTCGTGGTCGAAATGTTTTAATCCACCTGTATCGCAACCAAATCCAAGGTTCTACCCTCGTTTTAGACACAGTCAGGCCTCCGTACCCAGTCGGGCCCTCAGCCCCCGCTCTCTCGAAGCTGATCGTGAGGGTTCCTTTCCAATCGAGTTTTGTACCGGAGAGCTTCCGGCCTGACGTAGTTACGCAGCCACAAGGCGTCACAGTTCAAGAGGCATGTGATCGAGCCGCGTTTACGTGTAGCCCCAGTGGCCTAATGGATAAGGCACTGGCCTCCTAAGCCAGGGATTGTGGGTTCGAGTCCCATCTGGGGTGAAATTGCTTGTCTGAAAAGTGTGTTTTCCTATCGTCGTTAGTCAGGTAGGAATAGAACAAATACCATCTAGACACGACCAACTAACTAGTCTGTTTATAATAACGTTAGTTATTCTTCTTTGGAGTGTGTGGATGCCTCGGTTGCAAGTAATTTGCCTTTTCTTTTTGATCAAGCCCAACTGCACTTTGAAGGACAAACCCCTGTGAGCGCGAACGTGGCCCCACTTCTTGCCCCGGTTAGTATCCAGACACACCTGAAAAGTGCTGCGCAGGCTACAGATCCACGTGCGAATGAGACGCGCGTGTTTCACGAGTCCGACACAGGAAAGTTACAA